CGATGGCCAGGTGATGTCATAGATATTTTTATTATTATTCGAAATAAAAGGGGAGTATAAATTTATTTGAATTTGCATGGTTTTAAATATATAGGTATACGGTATCCTCAACAAGTTCGCTTTGTGGTATCTGTACCTGCTGAATGGTTAGTAATTCATTCTGATGATTGATTGATCTGACGTGTATGCTAGGTATCAATATCTAAACTACTTTTTCAATATATGATAAAGGCAATATGAAGCGAAGGCAATTATGAGAGAGTGTATGTATAATGCTGGTTACTTGGAACATAGGCAATCAGAAAATTTAGAGTTTACAACTGAACGTATGTAAATAATAAAGTTAATTTATTGAATTTATAATTTGACTTGCATATATGCACATTTATAACATACTCATTTCACCGTTTTATTTTTAGCCGAAGCCGCTGCAATTTATTGTATGAAAACTTTAAATGAGCATCATTTATCAGTTGGGTGTAAGTATATATTTATTATTATATTTATTATTACTTCATCTATTTATAAATATAGTGCGACTATAACACCAAAAATTTTTTTCATCCTAGCATCATTCTTAATTGTTGATTGCGGAGGAGGAACTGTGGATCTTACAACTAGAACTTTATTACCCGGCATGAAACTTGGTGAAATTACTGAACGTAGTGGTGATCTATGTGGTAGTTCTTATGTTGACCGTGAATTCCTCAAGTTCCTTGGTCGAAAATTAGGATTCGCAGCAATGAAAAAACTAAAAGAAAATCACTATGGACAAATGCAATATTTGGTCCAACAATTTTGTTCAAGAGCAAAATTTTCTTTTAACGGAAATCCTAACGAATATACACCAAAGGAATTGGATATTGAACGTATATGCCCTGCATTGATGCAGTATGTTACCGGTCAGGCCAGAGAACAAATGGAAGAGGCTGAATGGTTGATTGATTTAGACTTTCAAACAGTGAAAGATATGTTTGATCCAGTTGTTAAAAAGATTATCGATTTGATTCAAAGGCAATGTGCGTCGACCGAACGTAGATGCGCAGCTATGTTTTTAGTAGGAGGATTTAGTGAAAGTCAATACTTGCAAACTCAAATTCGTCGGCAATTTGCGACACAAATCCCAATTATTGCAGTTCCTAAACACCCCATAGCAGGTATTAAATATTCCCAAGATAGTCAGTCTGTTCATATTATTTCTTCATAATTTAATTCTAAAAATAATTGATTTTTTTTTATGCTAAGCCGTCGAGCGAGGTGCTTTAGAATATGGTTTAAATCTGGATATTGTCCAAACTCGAGTTTTAAAATTCTGTTACGGTGTAGAAGTTAGCGCAAAATGGGATAAATCAGATCCACCGGAACGTCGTACACCTTCCGGCCGTATATTCCGATTCCATCGGTTGGCATTAAGAGGTGTTGAAGTTGCCGTCGATCAAAAATTCTATTATACGGCCGGACCAGTAGTTCCGAATCAAACAGACATGACTTTTAATATTTTTATTACACCTGATAATAACGCAAAGTATTGTGACGAAGATGGAATGAAAATGTTAGGAAAAATGAAAATTGATTTGCCGGACCCACACCGAGGAAAAAATAGATTGGTTGAGTTTACTTTAACATTTGGTACTATGGAAGTTAAGGCTACTGCAGTTAATAAAAGAACTGGACAGGTTTATGAGAGCACTTTCGTTTTAGAATTTTAATTGTTGTTTTATTACTTTTCAATTAAATAATTTCTTTCATTAGTGCTTTTTACTTTACATGTATTTGTATTTTATTATTACTTACAGGTAGTATGTTATTTATTCTTAGTTTTATTGTAAATGACTTAGAGATTGGGATGCAGGATATTTAACTAAAGATGAGCATTATGTTTAGTTTTGAGGAATTCAGGATGTATAGTCTTATATTCAAACCATCTACACTGCATAATTACTCCCCTTAGCATAAACTTATTTATAATAATTATTTTTATTATTCGGCAAAAAAAAAGAAAAAAAACAAACGGAATTTCTAACAAAATTTTGAGTATCACAATCATTATACAGCTTTATCTTATTCATGTTTACGTTATCTATTTTATTGCTGTTATAAACATGATTGTACAGTTAAAGTTCCCTAAACCGAACCTGGATAAACCGAAAAATTGATAAAGTATCTAAACCGAACTTTTTTTAAGTCCTAATTGTTCGAAACTCGTCTAAAATTCTGGGTTAGTTTTCATTGGAATTGTGATCAGTTGGGGTAGAATTAACCAAAAATTCACTAAACCATTACTCACTAAGTAAAATGCCTGGCTAGTAATTTTGTTATAGACGTAATCGGCTAGTATTTTTTTTTTTTTTTTTGTTTTAAAACATTGTTGATTGTGCGGTTGATAACTGAAACTGAAAATTACTATATATAATTGGACCATCTTAATTT